CAGAGCCGTCTCTTCTCCAGGCTGAACAACCCCAGTTCTCTCAGCCTGTTTTCACCAGAGGTGTTCCAACCCTCTGATCGTCTTCATGGCCTCCTCTGGATTGATTCCAGCATGTCCATGTCCTTGTTATATTGGGGCCCAGGAGCTGGAGGCAGCACTCCGGGTGCAGTGGAGAAGATGGGGAGAATCACTCCTCTTGAGCTGCTGGGCGTTCTGCTCTGGATGCAGCCCAGGATGCAGTTGATTTTCAGGGCTGAGACTGCACATTGCTGGTTGAAGCCCAATTTTTTATCCATCAGAACCCACAAGTCCTTCCTGACAGGGCTGCCTTAAATCCCTCCATCCCCCAGCCAATATTGATACCAGGCATAGCCCTGAGCCAGGTGCAGGAGTTTGCACTTGCTTCAGTGGCCAGCATGCAGGGTTGTCATTCCCCCTGCTCAGCTTTGTGTGCAAAGCTCGCTGTCTGTGGATTCAAATGGTTGTTATCTTGGTCCAGCATGCTTTCACTGCACCCTGGCAGCCTGCTCCAGCTGCAGACAGCTATTGATTGGGATGGCCAAAAGCTTTGCCTTTCCTTAGGGGGTTTTTGGTAGAAAAGTCTGTAATGCTTTTGTCCAGTCACAGTGGGTTTTCCTGGTACACCCAACCTGTTCCACTGCCACCTTGCATTGTCAAGTTCATCAGTTTGAGCTTGGCCTTGGGTGCATTTCAGATTTCTTTTCTATAGCTATGCTTTTCCCTTCCATTGGTAGCTATCGCATCCCTTCACCCTCTGCCATGAGCTCTGCCTTCTGCAGTCTGGCCCTTGCCTAATCAAGGGAGACAGCTTTCCTGTTGTTACTGTTGAAGCTGCAATAAATAGCATATCCATTTCTCCATTTATCTGCTTTTTGAAATCCAGCCTGTAATGCCAGCAATAATTACTCTGTTTCTATATTTAGAGATCATCAGCACCTCATGAATATCAAATTGTACTGTTATTATCTCTGTACAATATGGGCCAGTCTCCTATCAGTGTAAACATTTATAACAGTGATTATCAGTAGGACTGCTAGAGATCCCAAAATAGACAAGGTTGAACAGGAGTCTGCCATTATTTGTTTACTGGGGGAGGCAGGGAGAGAGGCAGAAGAGCCAGCTGAAGGTCTGACAGCACAGAGCCCATCTAGCACCAGTGTGGGAAGGCTGGTACGTGGGGAACTGCACCTGGTGGGACCATTAGGAGCAAGTGTGAAGAGTCTGCTGAGCCCAAGAGCCATCTTAAATTATTGGAATTAGGTTGCCATCTGCACAAACATCCTGCCCCACAAGAAAATTCCTCAGAACACTTCCTTAGGGTACGTTTTTAGTGTCTTCATTTGTCCAGTAGGTGTTTTTTAGAGCTGTAGTCTGACTGGATTGATTCTAAATCATAGAAACAATTTCCGAATTATGGATTCAACTAATTCTGCTGTCAGTATCAGCTCGCCAAGGGGAAATGATTGATGTCTCATCTTCCGTGGCACTGAACGGCTGCATCTGAAGGTGTCTGGTCCCCCCAGGCAGTCCTTGCTGTTGGCTTGAAATAAAACTGCTCTGAGCTCAGGCAAATAGCAGGATGCACAGACAGGAGGGTGGTGAGAGGCTGCTGGTAAATGTTACGGGCACGGGTGAATGCCAATGGGTTTTTGCACTTGCTAACTTGTTTGTTTGTTTTTTGTTTTGATGGACATGCCATACTGCATTGAGAAGGGCTGATCTAAACCCATGTCAAACAGCTGAATCTCAGTGGATCTGGCTGCCTCCTAAGAGACCTTTCCCTTGCTCTGAAACTCCAGGAGACTTCCAAGGAATGGTCACTCACCATCATCATCTTTCAGAGCTGTCAAGACGCTTCTGCAGCTCAGCTCTTGGCACAGTTTTCCAGCCCTTGCATGCTCTGCTGTGGCCCTGGCCATGTGTCCTGTTTTCCATGCAGATCCCCCCACCTCAAAGGCTGTACTACCATCAGTGACTTCGGTGCTTAACAGAATTACCTTTTCCATTCCCCCACTTTTCCCAAGAGTTATTGCTCCTGAGTATTTACTTTGCAGCTCTATGGGCCACCTGGGCATGGCTAGGCAGAGCCACCTCCTGGCAGGACAGTAAGGAAAGCTCCCGATCTGCTGGCCCAGCACCTGCCCACTGCACAAACATTTGGCCACTATCAGTGGCAGGTTATAGCTCAGTACCCAGCTCTTCCCACCCATAAATGGTATATCTGTGCTTCGTAGCACCTGTTTTATATTTAAAGTGAGGGTGCTAAGGTGCAGGTAAGAGAAAATCACTGGCACTTGGAAGGGGCTGGGCAGGAAAGTGACTGACTCAAGTCTGGGCAGGCACGCTGCTTGCAGATGGGGCTGGTGGCACTGGGGGACACCAGGAAAGCAGTAAAACCTTGTGAACACAGTGGATGCTGTACAACTGCAGGTCCTGCTATCCCATGCTATTTTGCCCCAAGACAACAGTATATCCACACCTAAGCACATCCTTCAGATTCTAGCTGAAAACATTTTAGTGACACCAAAACCAAGCCCTAGAATCACATTTTCTATTCTGAATAGAAGAAGTTAGTAAATAAAGCTGGCTTCTAATCAGTTCCTCGTCCCTGAAAGTGCTGTAATACACCACTCGACAGTTTCTGTCCTAGCTAATTTCTAGAATCAGCTCTCTTTTCAGAGAAACCGTTGCCAGAAGAGGACATGACTAAGCAAGAGAGGAAACTCAACTGTAACAAAATGTGAGTGAAACAGAAAATAATCACTGAGTAAACTAGTACTTGTCAGTGCAGCAGGGGAAACAAATCTAGACCATTCTCTGCAGCTTTGGAGAGCCCTCGCTGGCTCTTGCACAGCTGGCTTGGAGAGGCAAACAGAATACAAAACAGGAGTTAAGGGCTCCAGGGCTGTGCAAGGCACCTCGCACTTTCATCTCTTGCACAAGGGAATGTGTCCTTCCGACAAGAGAGCTCTTCTACACATGTTTGTGCTGCGAGAATGCTGCCTATGTTTGGTTTGGAAAAGCTATGCTTGCTTAACAAAACCTGAATTTATCCCTGTAATCCTTCCCTGCATCTCCATGGCCAGATTGGAGCAGCCTGTGGAAAAAATTCCTGTCTATTTTCAGAAATAGATAAAAGCATTCAGATTACAGAGTGCAAATCTCATCTCAAAACGGCTGGAAAAATCCATTCAGCGCCACTGTCACTGACCCTCGTGACCTCTCCAAGTAATGAATTTCAGTTGCCTGTGTCTTTCCCCCATGCTGCCTCCTTCTCCTCCTGCTGCCACTGCTGGAACTGCCTGCACTCCCAGCATCTGCAAAATGTCAGCCTTGAGTCCCACTGTTTATCCCATGGGGAGCAGGGAGGGACATGTTATGTAAAAGAGCCAAGTGTGGAAATTATTATTGATCTCACTGCTTGAAACCATTAGTGGGATCTTTTCAATCCAGTGTCCATGCTCACAAATCTTGGCAGAGCACTCGTGTGCCAAGGAAGAAGTGCTCATTGCCACAAAAGTAGAAGTGCCAGGAATTTGCCTCATTGCCCACACTTGTGCCAGGGCTCTGCTCCCTACTGTGCCTGGAGCTGGGTACGGTGTCATCCCCTCCACTGATGGGAGATCCCAGAGCAAATGAGCCTTTAGCATCACTTATTAGTCCATGAGATGGAAGATTCCGTGGAGGAGATTGCTGCTCATTTAGAGGGACTGTGTGCTTTAGGTAGCCCCTGAGGTTTGTTGAATTCCTGCTCATGGTGGAATAGATGCCCTGTGAGCAAGCGAAATATTAAAGACAACGGCAGCGAGCTTACATCTCGCTCATATTTTGCTTATGGGTTACAGTCTTCATAATTAATACCAAGGAAGAAGGCACCCAGATGGACTGTGGCTCTTGAAAGATTAACATTGATGGAATTTTTTTTTTTAATTTAAAACTTTATTAGTCTTTCTGTGATATTCAGAGAGCAGACCTGGGATGCTGATAGCTTTGTGCCTGGCTCATCAAGTGTCTAACAGGAATCCTGTGGTCATCCCTTGGGATTCACACAGGTGACAACACCACACTTGTGTTCCCTCTGAGAAAATCAGGCTAAATCCTGTGAGGTTCTGAACAAACCATTTTTAGAGCTGAGGATGCTTCAGATGTCTCTGCTTCTGTTTCAGGATGATGAGAAGGATATGAAAATCTAAAAGAGGAGTGTGTGGTGGAAAAGAGATGCTGGAGAGATCACCGGCTCTGATGATGAGTAGATGGTTTAGGGTGATAACGTGGGTGTTGCACCTAGCACTGCTAACCTTACAGGACCTGGGGGAATCAGCTTACTTCACTAGGAAAGTTATAAATATATCCACTTTGCAACAGCAATGAGAGGCTTAGTTGTTACCTATCTAGTGTGGACAGAGAAAAGCACAGAACAGAGTGAAGTGTGTGAAGAAGGGACAAGGTATTTAAATGACTCCGAAATGAGACCTTGGATTGCAAGGCAGCAGGTGTGATATAAGCACAAATTATGCATTCATTGCATGTGCATGTTTATTTCTGTGTGCAGACACATGAATGTGTATTTGCTTGCATATCCTTTGAAGCTCGAACACAGCTCAGCTGAACATGCAAGCGAAGAAAACCGGGCAGTGTCTGTGTATCTACAGATATATAAATTGCACGTGGAGCACAAGTGCCAAAACACACTGGAAAGCACAGCACACCTATTACAGTCTGCCTGAAAGTCTGCCTGAAAGTCTAATGCTAAGATCAGAATTTGTTTTATCCCACTGCCTTATTTTTAAAGCCTAGAGAAATATCCACACTAGCCAAAACAATCTGATTCTTGCTTCAGTATTTTCCACAATTTTCAACCAGCTGTCAGGTGAAATTTTCAGCAATTGTAGATGGCTGTTGAAATTTTTAGAAATGTTCTAACTGCATAATTTTAAAGAAATGCTAAATTACATACCTCTTAAAGTAGTCATGAAGGGATACATATTGATTCAATTGATACTGGATCTATATATACAGAATACATAAACCTGAACTATATTGAAATATATAAAAATAAAGGTGTTCGTTAGAATGTAGAACCAAATTGCAGGTAATAAAAAATTTGTTTTAATTATCTTCAAAAGATCTGGTGATGTTTTTGTTGTGATAATGACCCTGAGAATTACAACAATAACCTTCTCCGAGTGAAAAATCTAACCTGTTAAGAGAAAACTAATGTGGAAATCCAGTAAAAGATTCAACTCTGACCCATTTGGAAGACATAATAAGCCTGTGATATCCTGTTCGTTCACCAGGGAGTCATACTTATCATTGAATTGTTACAGCTAGACAGAACACAGGTATTTATATATTCTGTATGATCCAAGTGCTTAAAATTGCTTTCAACTGTTGACTTCACTGGAGATGAATGAAAGACATTAATAGGACCGCTGCAATCCAGCCTCTTCCAGCACTGTGTAATGGCCCCAGGAATATCTCCTGTGTACATCATTCCCATCCGTTCCAGGAGCTCCCATGGCATTGTGCAAGCCCCACAGCAGAGAGGTCACCACAGCTCCTGCTGCCAAGCTCCCCCACCAGCTGCTGCCAGCCGATGGCTGCTCTGCAGGAAAACAGCTTTACAACACAGGCAGCTCGTGGGGCCACTTGGATGGGTGCCTTCTGGAACAAAAAAGAGGAGGGGAGGGGAGGGGAGGGAAAGGAATGGAAAAAAAGAGAGGAAAAGAACTAAAATGAAATGCATGAACATGGGTGAGAAAATGAGTTGTGTTCCCCACTGAAACTACCCAGGCAGATTCTCTTACCTGTGTCCATGTCACACAATGTGTTTGGCTAGCAGAGAGAATAGATATGTTATCCAAACACCAAATAATGCTCTTCACTTCTCCACTGGGACACTGACCAGTCAACAAGGCTTCCCCTGGGCATCATCCCTGTTTGATAGAGGCAGAGATGAACAAGCCTTGGATAAATGCCCATGGACAATTCATGTTGCCTCTTCGCTTCTGCTTCGACTATCTCTATCTTTTCCATGTAAGTCTCCTCCTTTACTCCAGACTCCTGCTGTTTCTTGCTCTGCATTCACTGCTCTGTATTTTTGCAGTGAGGGATTTCATGAAAGGAGAAAGCACCTTCCTTTTCTTCCAGGAAAGGTATGTTTAAAGGGTCTTAGAGGGATTATTTTATGTCTTCTGATTATGTTTCTAGGTTTAGAATGGATGTAATGTATAAATTAATCAGACAAAAGGTTGAAATACGCAAAACCTGGAAAAGGTCCAAATCCTCCACACTTAGGACTTTCCACATACATCTTCCCAATAATTTCTAACTCCACAGCTCCAGCTCTGAGAGTAATGCTTAGTTTTGAACTTAGCTTTAGCTAAACATGGTGAAGAATCCATCCTAGACCTCACTGAATTGGTAACCAGCCCATGGGTATTTCAGTAAATTCCAAAAGCACCCAGTAAAACAGAGTGGAAGGGGAGAGTAATAGACTCTGTAATTAGAAAGCTGTCAGTCCCATAAAGCAGACTAAACACGTTAAATCCTCTAGGACTTTCAGACCGAAGATCAGCATTTATAACTTCAGCTCCAAACCATTCATAAGCAGTTGTAAATGATGGCACCCATACAGAAATCCCTCTGCTGGGATGTCTGCCCTGGGCATGACATTGTTAGCATGAAGCAGCAGCTTCTAAGCAGTTTGAAATGGTAAATTCTGGGCAGAGCAGGTTACTGCAACCCAACAGATGACAGAGGTGAGGTTCCCACCTCCAAACTGGCATGATGCAATCTCCCAGTAAAGCACAACTGAGAAGATAAAACAGTTCTGGAGACCACAGTGTTTCCTTTCCAGCCGTCTGAGCCCCAGAAGCCTTAAGGACCCTTGTGCTTAGGACAGGCTGAAATGAAAACACAACTTTTATGATAGTGCCTTGGAGGAAACAGTATCAGAGTTGCATGGAAAAGTGGTCTGTCCCTTGCACACATGGATTGCTTTCATGACATGCCATAAAAGTGCTGTTTCATCCTCCACCTCTGCCTGTAGGCTCCTGATGAAGGTAGAAGTGTGGGTACACCACACTCCATCACCAGTTTGTTGATAACTGGAGGACGTGAGTTGATGACACTCTGCTGCCTGAACTCCTGCCTTGCAAACCTGTGCCACTCTGTGGCCTGATCCACCCTGAGTTATATCAGTGTCTGTTCTCACAGGTCCTTGGGTGGCTGTGCAGGCAACTGAGAGATCTTCTGTCCACAGCACGGGCAGCTGGGGTCCTCTATTGCTCCTTGGATAGGTCTGCTCCCTGCTCCTGACCCTGGCTGAAGTGCTGGAGCCATGGAGCTCTCTTTGGGGCACCTTTTCACTAGACAGGGGGAAGGGAGGTGGATCTCTGCCAACAGATTTGAAAAAGTGGGTTCTTTTGCTCATTATCTGGATATATATTGCCATTGCTGGCTTTGCCTGGCTTTATGACTGTGCTCCCTCTTGCCTAATAAAGATCTGGGAATGCAAGTGAGTGGTGGAAATCCATCTCTTTAAGAGCTCCCGGGGAGGGTATGTTTAGTTTTCTCAGGTTTCTAAGTGGAGATTGGAATTTAGTCCTTTATCAAGAGGGGCCATGGGTATATTAAATCCAAACATTTTTCTCTGCTGTTAACCACCTGGCAGAAAGGTTACACTAATTACATCAGATGTGTTTTCTCAAATTTTCCTGCTTCTATTATAAGCGTGAGGCTTATGACAGGGGAACCAGTTTGACCATTGGGAAATGCAACCTGTCTTATTCACAACTCAGCTCCCAGATTAACCAGGAGACAGTGACCCTCATAAGAGGTAAGGCACAGGGACAGAAACAGGCAGGTCATGGAAGAAGAGCATGGGCTCCATGTCCATGCTCAAGGGCAGGGAGTGGACAGGCGCTGTGCCAGTAGAAAGTGCACAAGACTATGGTGCTTGGAACTTGGAGCAGTGAAAGCAATTTCTACGCTGTGCAAATGGCTCTTTACCCTCCTCCTAACAATCAACAGACATTTTTGGGGGTTGCCACTGTAAGAATGCTGGGAATGGCAATGCAGATGTTGGCTTGGTCTAGAGAGGGAGGAATAGAAAGGAACAAGAGGTGGGAGAGAGGCCATGTTTATAACACTAAAGGTGAGCCTTCATACTCTCCAACAAATCTGCCCCTCTGGCAAATTCCACAGCGTGGCCAGCCATCACCTCAAGCCCTGCAGTACCACTCACTCAAACTGGAATTTTTGGCCTTTTATCCCTTTTTCCTGTGTAGAATTTTTGCTAAGTGTGTTACAAAACTTGCATATGTGGGCCAGGCTTTGGTGGAAACTTATGGTTCTAGGATTTTCCTGGAAAGCAACAGTGTTAATTTTTATCTCCATCCAAAACCAAATTGCTCAGAAGTGACAATGGTGAAGTAGTAACTAATTTTTTAGTAGAAAAATATTGTCCTACTCAAAAGACAGAGCAAAAAAAAAGAAAAAAAAAAAGAAAAAAGTCACAGTTAAAAAAGTAGAGGAGTAAAATGTGATCTGACCTTGTTCTTTTAAATGAGACTCAGGCATTAAAGTGCACTGGGGACTGAACTTCTTACATTTAGTGACAGATCTTCTGACATGCTCCCACCAGATGCTTCTGTAGATTGGAAATGAGCAACAGGGAAGAAATATGGTAGGTTTTTTTCCAAGATGCAACAAGATGTTGTACTTCCTGGCCACATATAAAATGAATTTACAACGGAAACATGCCAGAAATGCCTGAGGGTAACACTAGCCATAGCAGAACGCTGAGTCGTTTTTTTTTTTTTTTTCTTCAAGCATTGAATAATGGTCCTGAATGTCATTTTTCTTAAAATAACCCCAGCATGGGTGACTGGTGAGTGAGATCAAGGTTCCATGTTTCATAGGGCATATTGGGAAAAAGTTATTGTGCAATCTGATGTCAACTACACATACGTCCTCTGTCACACACACTAAGATAAATCTCAAGGTTATTTATTGCAACAGGCCCCTAAAGCGATGACATTAATATTATTACTATGAATAATTGCATCATTTTCTCTGACTCTAGTTATTCTTGTTTTCTGCTAATACATGCATGTCAATGCTGTTCACTGCTGGAGTGACTGGAAACATTTCACATGGTTTGCAGAGAACAGATTTAACATTTTCCAAGCAAAGGGGAAAAAAGCACTTTGACTCTTTTTGGCCTCAAAACTGCAACAGGTTTGCAAAATATTTAAGCACGGGCTAGCAGGTCTCTGTCAAGGTCACCGTAACCTTAAAAACACTCCCCCTGATTCATTAGGTTTTCGATTACACTGAAGTGGCCAGAGCTGCCTCTTAATTCAAAGAAGAGAAAAGAGGGACAGCCAATCTCGTAATGCAGGTACAACAGTAAATTACCCTGCACCAAGCGCTGTGTGTCTCAGAGGGCTGACGGCTGAGCTGCGGGTGATGAACAACCAGGGCCGTGCAGCCACAGGGGCAGACTCAGGTGCTGGTTACAGCACTGCAAATCTCCCTTTGGAGCACAAGCAATGCTTTACACTTTGCACAGGGAACAGGAGAAAATACCAGTGGGCAGGAAGTTGAGAGACTTGGAAGATCTTTATGTCTTAGTTAGGGCTCTTTGCGTTAGTGTCAGCTCTTCCACGCTGATGCACATATGCTTTCCTGACCACAATGCTATCCAAAGCCTCCATCTTGGTTAACATTTCATCATTCACACTCCAGGAATTATCATTTCCTCTAGACATGCTGACAAAGCTCATTGTTTATTGCTCGCAGCATGTCAGAACTGCTGGTTTTGCTTTGGACTGCAAGATGTTTGGAAAGCCACATGCTTTTTCCGAGGCCAGCTCAGTCCCCTCTGTGCTAGCTTCAGCTGCTGCGTTCGCTTTTGCCCAGAATGTCGAATACTGCCCAGACGAGCCAGAGTAGGAGAGAGTCAGCTTCAGACTGACCAAACAGCACTGAATTTCATGTAACCATGGCCAATATCTTCCTGGCAGCCACAGGTACAGACTTTCCAGCAGAGAGGGCTGGCACTTTACTATCTTGCTCCCCTTTGGACCCACAGATAAACCTGCTGGATGAGTGAGCCAGTGAATGTGACCTGGACATGTGCCTGTTGTGCCATTTCCCAACCCAGGGGAGATTACAGCTCTTCCTGGCAGCAGAATTTCCCATGGAGGGATTATAACAGGGAAGGAGGCCATGTACCACCCCTTCTGGAAAAGAAAACAATCTTCAGCCATGGTCCTGTGCTCCAGGTCTCCCCAGCAAGAAATGGGGGCAACACCTGGCTGCTCACTGACCTGTTACAACAGTGCAGTCATGAGCAGTTGCTAAATGGTGCAGAAATGCAGATCATTATTTCTTAGTTACTGCATTTCATATGACAGGATATATATTTTTCCATAAGTCCCTGAAAGCTGAACTAACACAGAAAACACAGACTGATCCTATGGATCTGTACAGCGTTACCCTGGCTGCATGGCTGAGCCCTCCTCTCAGTCCAGGAGGAATAAGAGCTGAGTATTTCAGTGAAGGCTTAATTTCTGTCTTGCAGGAAAAGTCCTGAGCCACATAATCTGATCCCCCCAGCTAAAATGTCTCCTGGAAGATCTGTTCTGCCCACAGCAGTACCATAGGCAGGAGATGGGACACATGGCACAGGAGCTGCCTGTCCCCGGAGAAAGAGTGTGGCTGCACCCATGAGTGGAGGCAGAGCAGCAGGAATGGACAGAGAGCTGTAAGACCAGCAAAGCAGCAGTCAGGGGATGTCCTCAGCACACAGCAATTAATGGCCAGGGACAAGCAGGCTGACCTCAGCACTCCTTATTGCATGGAACAGACATGCTCAAAGGCACAGAACACATTCTCTGCAGGATGGAGATCCCTCTGCATCCAGTGATTGCTCCCAAGATACTTCACCAACAGTAAGCCCAAAGGGACTAGTCCAGCCCAGGGAGGTAGTAAGGAGGGGTGGAGAGTCTGTTGTCAGTGGGAAATCAGTAAGTGATTTGAGTAAGTTTTTTGGGAGAGCAGACAGCTCCTAAGGGTCACTGGCACTGATGACAAAGAGAAGCTTTACCACAAAGAGCCCAGGCATATCCATGTTTCTGGGAGCACTGCCCTTCCTCACCCTTCACCTGCACCTCACTGTCTCACTCTGCTGCTTTGGCCTGACAAGCCCCTGTAGCTGTGATCTGTCTCTTCAGGCTTGTTATCCCACATTTTATTTCCATCATGCAGGATCTGTCCAGGTGATTAAACAAAAGACATCTTTTCATTATTGTTGTTGTTTTTACTGTGCCATTGCTATGTCCTTTATAATAGCTTTGCTTTTCCTGTGAGGAATAATCTCTGGAAACTTGGATAGAATCCTTTGGCTCACACTAAAAAAGGTAATAAAATCCTGGGAACCCAAAACGTTTCTCTGTTGTTTTCACCAAACATCTTTTTCCAGCTTGAAAAATGCATTTCTTGTTTCTGATTTGTTTCCTGATTAGGGAGAATTTCTTCCTAACCTGACAGTTTTCCCCCTGTCCAGCACACCTGGGCATTTGGAGGACTGTGCCCAAGTGCTCAGAGGGCTCCAGAGATGTTTTTCTTGCTCCCCACCACAAGTCTGATTCTCCCTACAGTTACAAGGAAGCCACTAATTTCCTCATTGCTCTGATTTCTCCATCTGCCACCTTATGATATAATATTTACTTATCTTTTCAAAGCATTTTAAATCTCTGTAGGAATGCATTATAAAAGTGCATTACTGTTATTACTTTACTCCGTTGTGTAACTTTGAGAAATGGCTTACGTAAAGCTGGCTTCTCTATCCCCTCTCTGACCCCCATCCATTGTGCTCTTGCTGCTGCTGCCTCCTCCCGTGACAGCAATAGTTAAGCTCTGGTTTCCCAGTACCTTCCTTGGTTCCTACCCAGACTTTGGGGACTTAGCATCCAGTTCCCTCTACATCAGCCCAGAGATCAGCAGCTTTGGATTCAAAGGTTCTGCTGCCTCTCTCTCCACACCTCTATTGCCTGCATTACGGTCAAAAGATATATTTTCAGAGATTCCAGAATTACTTGTATGAACTCAAATTCCCTTTTTCTGGCATCTCAGAAGTATCCTATCAACAGTAATCTTTGATACTTCCTTATAACTATGACATGAGTTTTATTGGGAGGGCATTTGTAACCTCTTAGCCCCGTACTCTCTCAGGTTCAGCCTTCACAAGCCAAGATGGCAGGACCAGAGGAGCAGTCCAGTAATAACCTAAAGCAGATGGTGTGGTGAGAGGTGTGGTGAGAGGAATGATGAGAATGACATGTCTGACTCTTGATGTGCTACTGTGACCTGCTTTTTTTTTCACAGCATTTTTCTTTTTAGTAGGTAAGTTAATTGTTTTCGTTCCTTGTATTTTCTGTCATGCCAAAACACCTGTTTTCAGTGAGATAAAAGGCTGTCAAAAGAGCAGGTACTTGAATTAACAACACTGTGTAGAAGAGCTTTCACTAAAGGGGCAGATGACAGGCATATGAAAGGTGAAAACTAGTGAGACTCCTCAATGCTCTTCCTCCTCTTTCTCTTCCACCTTTCCTGAAGAATATTGGTCCACATCCTGATCATTTTATGTGAAACAGCTGCCAGGTTTCATGCCAGAGGTGACTGCATTTCAGAGACAAGCAAATGTGCTGCTGTATTACTGCCAGATACTGACCTCATGTGTGTTAGCCTTGGCTTTTCAAAGGGCTCAATCGGACTTCAGTGGTGCAGCTCCAGCCCAACCCAAGCATCAAAGAGTTCTGAGCCCATTCCACTAATTTTGGCATTCAGAAAACATAAAGTGTGTGTCCTATAACTATGTGTCCATACACTCTGCCACCCTGCTAATGCCCATCTCAGGCTGTCTCTCCCTCATAGTCAATTATTTGGACAAGAACTGGTGACTAATAGAAGCAATTTGTAGAAAACATGCTGTTCCAAAGTGACCAGCAGCAAATTGCTAATGACTGACATTACAATGACCATTCTTCAAAGAGGAATAGTTGAAAGCCCACTGTGCACAGCACTGATCACATTTAGCAACAAAACAACCCCTCCTGATTCTGGCATCTGCCATTTATGCTGGCTACTGCTAGCTTCCTTTCCCTGGTACATCCATAAGACCAATTACATTGAAATTAAGCAACCACATATTATTTGTTGACGTAAACATGAAATGTAATGAAATGTTCACTTCACTGATGTGACCTTATAAACTTGATGGACAAAACATTAAAAATACAAATGCACTATAGGGAGAAATCCTGCATTTTTCAGGAGATGGATCATAGGGCTTAATAGATCATTTCCATCTCTGAAATTTCTGAGTTGTGATGAATGGAATTTCTTAGTATTTGAAGCAAAAGAGGAGCATGTTTAAACAGACTGGAGAGGACTGCAGTGTAAAATCTTTGCACTATAAAAAAGGCAGCCTTGTTTTTTATTGCCCCTGTGGGGAGTCTCCTGTGAACCAAACAGCAACTAAATCAAATAAACATTTTTGAATCAACTCCATCTTCTCTTCAGCTTTGGGGAGTTTAAAAACCCTGTAATTTATTGAATCACCTTTTATGGCCGTACCTACAGATGTCTTTTGAATTTGATAGTAAAAACATTTAAACTCATAACGTTTCCCAAATCGGCTAAATCCATTATATCACCTGTGCCAGTTACTATATTTGTAGGGCAGTAAACAGTGGCCTTTATTGTTTGCTGTTCATGGGGCTGTGCATAAGAGCAAGCTTAGTCTGTCTCCAGAGATATACACCTACCTTGCAGGCACCAGAAATATTATACCAGCTTAAATTAGTGCAAGCTTTCCATGCTGTCACTGCCTCCCCTGTTTTGATTTGGTGACGGTAATCTCTATTCACTGCTGTGCTGATACTCTTGGAGTCAAGGCCCCTTCTCTACTTCTGCTGTATCTGGAAGAAAAATTAACAAGTGCAGCTTAGGCATGTTATGAACAGTTAGCAAATTTCCACACCTAGGGGGGTATGTCGGCTCAGATAACTGATTTTCTTTGCAAGCAGATGGAGAGGTGAAAATCCTTATGCAGGCTTGTCATAGTCTTATCTCAAACCCTCCAGAAAAGTAGGCAAATGGAGGTGAGACAGTGAATTATCCAGACATCAAGTAACTTAGCTCTTCTCAAAGACAGTGAAATTTGCTTAGAAAACCCAGGGGAGAGGAAAAACGGAGATGGATGTGGAGTATGGAAGTTTCAGCAAATGAGGGCTGTTTGGGGAGAGCATGGGTGTGAGGGCAGAGCCATCCCAAAATGTTCATGGAGTGAAGGCAGCAGGGGCCCTGAGGATCACATCTGCACTGCTCTCTGGGGCAGAGGGCTTTCGGGAATGCACCTCATGACCTCCCACCTCAGGCATTTAATGACCCCATCTTTCCCTTTCTTTCATGCCATCCTTTCCAATTCCTCTTCTTCCACTCCTTGAATTTACCAATACCAACTCTGGGGCTAATTTTGCAATTGTTTACATGGCATAGGACCATTAGGAAAGCAATTAACACATTCTGATGAGATTTAGGAAGTGGAAAAAGCCATGTAAACAGCAGATCCCTAAGTAGCTTGTGAGTCTCAGTTTGAAAACCATTTGATACAAGCGCAGCCGAGGCCATTTCTCAACAAGAGCTCCTAGAAAGTCTCTTTATTCAAGTGACTGAGGCTTTTCCAAGGAACAGGAGAACATGAGTTATCTTTCTGCTGTTCTTTGGCAGTTGTAGAGAGGCGTGACTGGCTGCCTAATGATATTTTCCATATTGTTTATCTTTTCTTCCCTTTGAGTGCCACATGGTCTATCATTCCCTCAGCTCAGATATAGGCCCCAAGGGGACTTAGTCTACAAATAAAACACAGAGCTAAGCAATAGTGATTAAAACCCAAAATGTTTTAGGCATACTGCTGTTGTTAATAACACTGGTTTCAAATTATTTCCCTCCTCTCTGTGTCCCCTCTTGGAGACTTGTTCTGAGCTCCATGATGCCACTTGTCATCCAGCTGAGCTATGCCATCACAAGATGAATGGAGGGTTCCCACTACAAATCATATAGCCAAAAAATGTTTTGTAAAGCTAGCCCCAGATATAATAATAATAAAAAAAAGTCCTTTCTCTTGTGTTCCTAAGAAGTTCTTAAATTCTTCATGCCATATGTTTCCAGGCCCTGTCAGTGGATAGATAGTAGCTTGTTTCATTTTCTGTTTTCACTTTCTATTTCTCAGGTGCTAACACAACTTGAAAGACTCAATAATTTTCAATTTCACCCCCTTGCAAAAAGATTTTAATTGTTGTGAGTTTTTTTCCTCCCACTGTGGGCAACTTTTTAGTTTTTCAGTCTGTTTTTTCACATGAACTTTGCTTATGTGGCCATGCTGCTTTTCAGTCTGGCTGCAAGTCCCTCTTCAAGAGCTTTTGAACCTTGATGAATTTTGCTCAGATTTGATGGAAGGGCAGAACGGCAGAATTCTCAGAAACAGTCATGCTCTTAGAAGATCTGTTAATACAGACATTATGATAGAGGAATGAGAACTAAATTCATGCCCTGACTGAGCAAACATTATTGTTTCTCTTGGCAGCTGGTACTCACTGGCCCACCTGCACCTACTGCTTCTTACTTTGCAGGGATGCTATCCATGGAGTGGGAAGGAGACAGAATTAATGCAGTGGGGATGGAGATTGGCTGAGGGGCACAGGGAGCAAGTCTGTTAGGAATCAGGCCTTGCTGCTCCCAGCTCTCCCCACAGGAATTGTTTTGTGGCTAAATTAAATCTATATTGTTTTATTTCAAACACGTGCAAAGCTTGACTTCAGCATCAAATGGCATTATTTTTTGTGGACTGTAAAGCCAGTACCTTAATATTATTTTAACAAAGCCTTCTGAAATGCACATACATTTCCAGTCAGCCGGATTCTTCCTTTTTGCTGAATACTGAACATTCTTTTCTTACCCTCACTGTTGTCTTTGGCTGTAGAAATTGTACTTTCCACTTTCACAAAAACTGTAGGGGCATTATGAATGCCTGTATTTTTCTTGAGCAGACTTTTTGCTTTCTAACAAAATGCCTACACTAAGTCACTTCACACAAGTTCGGCTTTCAGTGTATGTGTGCAAAGCACAAGGTGCTTATCTTTGTCTGTGTATTGCAACTGAAAATTAAATTTGCCTTTGTATTTTCTACTCGAGTGCTATGGTGAATGCTTGAAAAGATGTCATATCCTTCTTCAGCTGCCTGCATGTCAATGTGATAGACAAAGAGATTTATCCCCAAACGGTTCAGAATTGCTCTGGGGTTTTTAAGGAATATAGGAACACAATTACTCTTTATTGTTTGACTTACCAATTTGTTTTCTCCACAGTTTTAAGTAAAATGCCTTAACTGAAAGTTTATATAACAAGGTGTTGGCATATTAAGGAGTGCTGTATAATGTTTTATATTTTCTAATCAAATTACAAACTTTGATTATCATCTCCTGGCACCATTCTCAGCAAGAAGAAAATGTCATTATTTTTACTATGCTGATGGGAAAGTGAGATGATTTAGCCAGGGTCACCCTGAAAGTGGCAGACAGTGGGCTGCAGTAAGATTCTGGCCCACGTTTTGGTGCTCAAAGTGCCAATGCTCCTTACTTAGAAACTTACAAAATCTTTTTTAGTATTTTAACCCATTTTAGCATGTATTTCTTCCATGCAGAGAGCTTCAGCCGCAGAGGCAATTAACCATATGCATTTTTTCCCAGTTTATCAAACTAATCAAAGAGCCATGGCTGCCCTACGGTACAAATACCAAAAGCCACACATAAACATGACTCGCCTTCCTAGACAACAGCAGTTTAATAATTTGGGGACAGCTTGCCATTTAGAATTACAGGGTTGCACCAGGAATTTTGCAGATAATGGAGATGGCATCACTGCCCTGCTTCTATTTGAAGTTCTGAGGCTGCCCAGGAGCCTGGCCACAAGTCTGTGGCACATGTTACCCTTGAGGACATTCTGCTGATGCTATGTCTTTCATGCTAAGTTACTGCTATTTAAAATTCAGCAGTTTGCCTTGCTCTTGCACTTATTTTCAGGAGGCATCAGTGAGGATTCATTTCACCTGGCTTTAACCATGTCACCAGCCAGAGTGATCTCAAGGAGAACCATTTCAGCTCCCCGTATACTGGCTGGTTTTAGACATCCAGTTGGGGATGGAATGGGTCACTTTTTGGAGCTGCCTAGAGGAAGGAATCTTGATGACTAAGTCTGACTGAATGCCTGTTTCCTGGTTAGCACAAGTCAGCTGGAGTGAATCACACAGCAAAGAGCCTCCTGACACAAGAGGCAAAGCGCTCCAACACCGAGTTGCTTTTGTCTCTTCAGCTAAGGTATTTTGAAGGATTTGGGATACTATGGATACTTTTACATAAGACTCGATCCATTCTGGGTTTGAGATTGCACAAGGTCATTGGGAAGCCCATTCCAGTGCTTGATCATTCTAATTTTGAAGAATTCCTTCTTATTAACTAATTGGAATTTCTCCTGTTGCAACATGGGACCAATGCCTCTCATCTGCTTGCTGTACATCTCAGAGAAGAGTCTGGCTCCACTTTCTCAGTTACCTTCCACCAATTGTAGACAACAGCTGAGTCCCCCCTTAGCTCCTACTTCTCCAGGCTGAATGAACAAATAAGAGCCCACAAAAAACCATGACAGTGGAATTGCCAACGTTTTTATGACTTTTAGGATGAAATTCCCCAAAGGCTCATTCCGTATTGGTTTATTCATTTTTTATTTCAAACATAGACCAAATTGATGACTGTTTCTCAAGTCACAAGTCCACAAAGGTACTCTCTAAGGCAATAAGTTCTCACTGGATCATTGTAGGTGTATCAGAAGAGACAACAATTTTTTTTTTTGTCCTCAAAACTAGTTGCAGTGGGAAAGAAGGATTCCAGAGGGGGAGTGGCTATGGGGGGATATATCCCTAAGTGGGTCTGGGATCAGGTTTTGCCCTTCATTTGCTCTTTGCCGGAGTTTTGAGGAGGAACATGCTCATCTATGCACATGGAATTGATGTGGAATCACAAAGAGAGCCCAGGTTGCTTTGGTCCTCATCCAGCAGCTCTTGTCAGCCGGGCATGGGCTCGCTTTGGTTTCACACAAACGTAAAACTTTATTTAAAACCTCCTGGAGTTTCCCGTCTTGGACTGGGGGTTTCACCAGGTTTGTTTACCTTGTAAAAACATACATGTGGAAAGAGTATAAAGAGGTTAACTCCATCAACAGTGAGCGGAGGCAAAGCTGCAATAAAAACTGAAAACACAGCCCGTTTCGGGGAAAGTTAAGAGAACCCATCTCTCCACAGCAATGGAAATCATGTCACGGTCGTTTTCCACTACTCTCCCACCCCACAGGCTATTTTATGACAAATTCCGCAGCCAAACAGTAGTACGGTTTTTTCCCCTTCGTGCAGCGCTGTGGGGCGGATGAATCACCGTCCCTCTCGGGCTAATGCCCGAATTCAGGCGCTGCTTTGCAGCCCCGGCGGGCCGGGCNTGGCAGCGGCGCCGGGGCTCCAAGGCTCCCCTGGCCTTGCCGGTTCGTTCATGCCCGCCGGGCTCTCACCCGCCTCCCGTTTCTCCGCAGGCATGGTCGCCGCGCTGTAGGAGGGCCGGGAGCCGCGGCGATGGAGGAGAGCGCTTGAGCTTGTCTGCGGAGGAGTTCCGTGTGTGTGAGACGTGTACGGTACCCGAAACCTCGGTTTCAGTGCTGCTGCTTTTGTTGCACCTGGAGGAATAAATAACTGGAGGCCTGTTGTTATAATCTCATCCTTAGTATCTTTCCTTTTGGGGAAAAAAAAAACAGTGTCTTGTTTTGACTCGCACATACACAGAAGCCAGTCAGTTTTTTTCCAGCTGTAACTGGGTGTTTTTCCTTGGTTATTGTGTGTTGTCACTTTTCCCGTTAGTACTGGCGTGTGTGCTGCTGTCTGGGCTGGATGTGCCCTCTGGCAAAGCTAAACTTTGACCTGAATGGTCTCTTGTGCAGTAAATGCAGGGTGAGTGCTGCACCAAGGCTCGGAGCTTTGCACAACCGGGCTGTTCAGCACATAGCTGTGGCCACAAGAAGAGGCACACTGAAAATGAACACTGGGGTTAAACTGGGTATGCAGCTTCACACTGGTGCTTGTGTTCATTGCATTGCAGTTCTTGGTCACTGGACGTCTTTGATCTCTACTTTTGTTAGTGCGTGGGGTGCACTACACTGATGGGTAGTGTATTATACTTATTGATTGAAAGCATCACTACATCTCACTTATTTCATAGCAGCTGTTTGTTCTGTTCAAGACATGACCCAGCCTCTGCCTTTGGACTTTTCAGTTGTAGATAGCATAGTAACATTTCAAAGTTTCTCAAGCGTGAGCTTATTCCACTGTGAAACAGAGATAATAGATGGGTCCCCCTCCATCTTAACAAATGGGGAAACTATGATTAAAAAAAAGCCAAAATATGCCTTAAATTGAACACAGAAATCTAAAGTGAGTTGGTTGACTTTGCAGACATGTTTTACAGTACTGTCTAATAGTCTGAATGCAAAGCTGCAGTGGAAGCTGTACCTCGGCAAATCAAGGTACTCTTTACCAGTGTGTATTCATAGTTTGGTCAGTGTGTGGGCTGCAGCTGAAGAGTGTGGTCTCACTCCTTTCCATCGTTGGCCATGGATTCTTGTTGCTCTCTTTGTAGTGGATTTAGTGGTTGGGTAGTTTCAGGGACAGTTGATCTAACAGTTTTACGGGGATGGAAGTTATTCCAGTGAGTGCTTGCTCTGATATGAATGAAAGCTGTTTCTCCTTCTGCGCTAATGTAACCCAGCTGTGGGTCAACCATAATGTGAAACTGTACCTCGAGAAACCAAATCTCAAACTGGTCATTCAGAAAATCAGAACTACACCTCAAACTTATGAAAAGTTTGGATTTATAAAAAGAAAAGTCAGCCATGTGTAGGGAATATGTGGTAAGAGTGACGAGAGTATGAGCCTGTGAAGGAACTTTCTCATCTTTCCAGGGTTTTTTCTCCTTTCACTGCTTGCCAAAGTGTTTCTGTACTGAAAGAGGGAAGTCACTTACAGACCTTTATTTAGATCTCAGGGGCTGGTCCACCATGTGTATTCAGTGAGGCAGAATCTTGAAGGAAAGATAATTTTGTACCCTACTATGAAAGCCAGACTGAGATTCTGTAGGGAAACCTTGTTTCTGGTGTGGTCCAGCTCCTCAGCCTCAATGAATTTTGTTTTCATGGAGTTGCCTGCTTTCCCCATGAAAGTAATCTGGAAAGAAGATTGGAAGTGGAATGAAGTGTCATCTTTGCACCCACCTGGGATTTTAGCGGTGCTAGGATTTGCTGGATCAAGTAACCCTTCTCCACTTGCTCATGTGGGAGGCTGTCATGTGTTTCATCTGTTCCTGCAGAGTCTACTCCTTCTGCAGCTATTTTTAGTAAAGCCAGATTTTTAATTCTTAGATTCTTTAATCTGAGCTGCCATAGGTGCAAATCCTCTTGTCCTTTTTCTGGCTTTCTATCAGATTCCATCCAAGACTTTTCCCCATAGAGTTTCTTTCTCTTAATTTTTGTTTGGATAGTCTCACTTGTCACTTGTCCCATCCTTCAACGTGTTGCTACCTCTTATTCCTCCCAACCCTGCTTTACCAAAGCACATTTTTTTTTTTTTTTTACTTTTGGCTGCTTCTTCCAGCTTCTTGGGATGTGCAGAGTCTTTGTCTCAATTTATTCTTTCTTCCTATTTTTATCATTATTTACAAATAATCTGTGTTTTCCTCTGTCCTTCTTTCCTTATTTCATTCCCCTCTTCTCCACTTACAGTTTTGTTCAAGGCTGTCCCTTCCTTGTTCCCTTGTTTCTTCAGGTCATGGTGCTGGGAACACACAGACATGAGGCACTAAGCTCCATAGTCTGGTTAAATGTTTTATTGGCACTGGCCTGAGGACAGCTGGCTTGTTTGTGTTGTGTGTGTGGTGCTTGGTCAGCACTTAGGGCTAAGAGCGGGAGAGGTGGAACATTTGGAGAGTTGAATTTTTGGAATGGGTCCCTGCTGACTGTGGGCAAAGGCTCACAGTTTGATTTTACTATTTGTTGTCTTGGCCTAGCAAGTAAATTGCTCCTGAAAGACAATTCTGCATTGTGAATTGTCCATTTTTTTACTGTATCAGGGCACAGTGAAATGTGATAGAGCTATGTTAGCAGAATTCTTCAAACATACCCAAAATGCCTCATAATTTTCCTATTTTTTTTTTTTTAGCTGAGCTAGTTTACTTGTGAATTTGATCTTGTTTTGATACAATAAATTTAATTCACCTAATTACATTTGTTTGTATTAGAGCTCTTGTATGCTTAGGGGTTAAAAACTTGAAGTCTTTACTTGCCAGTGCAAAATTAGTAGATTCACTGGTTTCACACACTATGCTTTTATGAGTTTGAGAAAATTAATTTTCTTTTAATCTGATAATAGGCTTAAGGTGTTTTCCCCTTGAGAATGGAACTGCTTTTTTTCACCTTGCTTTTCCAAGATTTTGCATGTGTGATACTAAAACTCTCCCGACTCTTGAGGAGCTTGTTCCAGTCATCCTTTGGTATAAAACCTGCTATCGATGTTATTTTAGGTATCAAGGGAGCAGGTATTGCTTTCATTCCAGATAAATGACAGATTGTTTTGTACTCCTTTCATCAAATCAGTGAAACTACAGACTGGGCTGTAGTCAGAAGAGTCAAAAGATAACTGAACACTCAGGCTTTCAAAGGAGACCAAGAAATAGATCACAACAAAGTCATTAATTTTTCTTCCTAAATCAAAGACAGACTATAAAAGGCAGTGCAGGTACTGACAATCATGATTTTGAAACAAGAATGGAGTTATTTTGAATTTCTTGCAATCCTGCATCAAACTGATAAAAATGATTGTTGCAGATCAACTTACTTTTCAAAGTAACTGGAATTTATGATGGTTATACATTAAATGTATACATTAATGTAAGTTAATGTATACATTAATGTAAACATATATGGGGTGAGCATGTGGTTGTGTTTAATTTTTGTTTCCTTTTAACTTTTGCATGGTCAGTATGATAGTGATCCCATGCAGATATGAATGTTAATTGTGAAGTAGCAACATATGTTCTATAACTCTTCCAATCTATTTAAAGACCCTCTCTGGTGTTTAAAGGTAAAAATGTTGCTGTCTTGCTACACAGGAGAGCTTGGGTGAAATGTTTTCTGATGCAGTTTTAACTGGGATAAAAGGGCTAAGGATACTCTGTTCAGCTTGAGCAGCTCTTGGAGAGACATTCCAAGCCTTTTTTTTTTTACTCCTCAAAGTAAATTCTTGAAGTAATTAATTCCACATCACTTGGTAATTCAGCTCTTAGATTTCATTATGGTTACTCCTATCTAGTGTTGGTATTGATGTTTAACATTGATTTCCTCAGTCTTCACACAAACAGTCTGCATTTGTTCAGATCGAGTATTAGTATTATATGTTTGAATTCAGAAGATAATTGCATATCTTGCAAATTACCCAATGGCTGTTTCATCTTGAAACATTTAGAAATCCATTTCAGTTTCTCATAATTATAATGTTTTAGTCAGACAGCAATCTAAACTTAGGACAGCACTTTGGCAGTGATATGCTTGTTTTTCTAAAATGAGCATAGTTTTTGTGGTTAAATTTTCCTTTCATTTAAGTATAGATTTTAATCAGTGTAAGCCAAACTTTTCCAACCATCTTTAAAATTAGCTCAAGCCATATTTTAAAAAGCATGTTCTCCTAATGTGATTTAACTTACGTAGAAAAATGTATGCAGAAGTTAATGTTTTTAAGCTGATTAATGCTTTTGAAGTGTTTTTACAACTTGTTTATAGACAGCTTCAGATAGGATACTAGTAGTTTTTTTGTAATCAATACCACTGAAAGCACTTCATGCTGTATTTCTGAAATTTGAAAGGAAGCTGTTCAGAAGGAAACTGTAAATTCCACTCATCAAGCAGCTAAATTACAACATCAAAACAAAGTAAAATGCCTCTGTTTTTCCAGATTTCTCTGCAAGCAGTGTGTAAAGTTTTGGTGATTAATGAAGTTTTCATTGGTGGTCTTGTATGTCCTTGTGCAGGGTATAGTTACCATATTCAGTTGGTGAGTTAAACAGATGTATAGCAAGTGTAGAGCTCTGGGTAGGGGATATTCAGCATTTCATATATTTCCACATATATAGAGAATTGGGAAGGAATCTGAATTGCATCTGTCAGGTGACTATTAGAGCCCACTGAGCTGCTGCTAAACATTTGGTAGTTTCAGTTTCTAGAAAAGTACTAGAAAAATCCTCAAGTAAAAAGACCCCAAAACCTGTTACCAACATTGTATCACTGTTTTTTACCCCAATGCAGAAAAAAAGGTCTTGGCTAAACTGAGAAAGTTTTGCAGTTGGCAGAGTGTTCAGAGACGGAGCCAATCTGTCAACAGACTTCTCTTCAGATAGCC